GAGCTCCTGACACACTGAATAAAAAGAGGGAAATGGGCTGAGTACCAGTGTTCATCTCTTTCTGCTCTCTGACTGTGGGCTCAGTATGGCTAGTGCGCTCTTGATCCTGCCACCATACTGTCCCTGACATGATGGACTGTGTCCCCTGGAACTATAAGCCAAAATGACACCCCCTTCCATTGTCAAGTATTTCTTCACAAAGGTGAGACCAGTCACTAATACAGAATGTTGGTACTAAGAAGTGGGCTTGTGGCCGGGCGGTGGTGGTGGTGCACGCCATTAATCCCAGCACTCGGGAGGCAGAGGCAGGCGGATCTCTGAGTTCGAGGCCAGTCTGGGCTCCAAAGTGAGTTCCAGGAAAGGCGCAAAGCTACACAGAGAAACCCTGTCTCAAAAAACAAAAACAAAAACAAAAACAAAACAAAACAAAACAAAAAAGAAGTGAGCTTATTACTGTAAGGAACCTGACCATGTGGCTCTTAGGCCTTTGGAAGTGTTTTTAGGAACAGTGTGGAAGCATTTGGAACTTTGATCTATAAAAGCCCTCGGGCGCTGTCAGCGGAACTTGATGGGATGTTCTGGTGGGGGTTTGGAAGACTGGGAGGCTGAGAGAAATACTGATGGAGGCCTTGCTCACGAGGCTTGAGAGGAACACGGGCTTTATTGACAGCTGGCCTGGAGGTCACTTGTGTGGTAGTCAAAGACAAAGAGTCTGGCATTATCTCTATGTGCTGCATGGGTTGAGTGGGGCTGAACACAGGAGTCAAGAGTCATTTGTTCGGCGAAGGCCATTCCAAAGCAGGGCAACACTCAGGCTGTGGTGTGGTTATTGCTCAGCGTTCTTATCCAGGTCTACAGTGAGGGGAAAAGGCAACAAGGGGAAGGAGAAACATTTAAGAGTCCAGTTTGTTGAAGAAAAGATCTTGGGTAAGTTTAAAGTCGCAACCAAGGCACATACTGCAGAAGGGGTTGTCACTGTTAGGGGGACTTCTCGCTGTACCAGGACAATAGGAAAGGAGCTTTGATGACTAGGCTCACCTACCAAATGTCCTCTACTGTGAAATGCAACTTCATTTGAGAGGGGAAAGTCTAAACTAAATATGCTGATGGAGAATCCTGCTCCTGGAAGGCGAGTGCCCATGGGAGTGGCTCCCCAGGGCCAGCATACAGAAAGGATGCAACTGTGGTCCAAAAGGCCAGACTCCATCCCCAGCCAGCGGCAGACTTTGGCAACATCATTCACATGGCTTTGTACACATGGAAGATTTAAGATGGAGGGGGATCATGGAGTCTTGTACCGTGGTTCCAGAGAGATGTTGAGACCAGATAATGTGTGTCAGGGTTGGAGTCCCTGCAAAGAGGCCCCAGGAAGGCTTTGTGTGAAGCTGTGAAGGTGAAGCCTGAGCAGCTGTGGAGACTCCAGGATAGGGCAGATACTGGAACCATGGGCTGTCCACTGAAGAACTCTGAAGGCGTGGAATAGCCCAGCTCAAGAGAGTGGGTATGTATACGCAAGGGGCAAGGCCGGGAGTGTGTCTCCCTAATCCCTTTGGAAGCCAGATGGTTCCGTCATGAGTCCCAGATGGCAGAGATGGAGCAGCGGGATTTGGTGTTTGCCATGATGGGTCTGGGTCTTGCTTGGGTGCAGTTATTCCTTGCTATGTTTCAGTTCCCCCCTTTGAGATGGGAATGTTTATTCTGTTCTGTTGTGTGTTGGAAGTATGCCGATTTGTTTTATTTACTTTTTATTTTTATAGGAGCTCACATTGAAGTGATTACCTTGAGTCTCAAATGAGACTTGGGCTTTTAAATAGTACTGTACCATTAAAGACTACGGGACTTCTGAAGTTGGACTGAATGTGTGTTGTATTATGAGATGTCCATGAGCATGCAGGTGCAATGGGGCTGAAGATTAAGGCTTAAACGTGTTATGTTCGGGTATCAAGTTGACAAGGGGTGGGTTTGAGATAGTTAATGTTGACTTTCAACTTGACAGGATGTAGGATCACTTTGGAGACAAATCTTTGGATGTGTCTATGAGAGTTTTTTTAATTAGGTTAGTTGAGGTGGAAAGACCCACCCTAACTGTCATGCTGAATAAAAAATGAGAGAGTTCCGAGTCCCAGCATTCCTTGCTCTCTGCTTCCTGACTGCAGATGCAGTATGAGCAGCCCTCTCTTGTTCCTGCTACCATATCCTGTTCATCCCTAGAAACTGTGAGCTAAAACAGTTCCTTCTTGAAGTTGCTTTTGACAGGGATTTTGTCTCCACAATGGGATGGACTTCTAACACGTTTACTAAGTTGGCATGGCGTGTTAGGTACCCCTGGGGCCACCTTGATGGCCACAGGCAAACCCGCCAACATGACACTAACCTAGAAGAAAGCAGAATAGACAAACTGAGGCAGATGTAGACGAATACCTGGGTCCAGCTCTCCCTGAAGCCAGCGAGAACTGACAGGTTCAGTGTGTTAAATTAGTAAAATTTCCCTTCCTCCTTTTGCTCTGAAGTTGGCTTTCCTTCTTCCCCTCCCCATCCATCCATTATCTATCCTATCTATCTATCTATCTATCTATCTATCTACCTACCTATCATCCATCCATCTATCTATCTACCTACCTACCTATCATCTATCTATCTATTATCTATCTATCTATCTATCTATCTATCTATCTATCTATCTATCTATCTATCTATCCATTCATTTATTTTACAAGATCTCACAGTGTATTCCAGGTCCAAAGAACTCAGGTTAATGTGATGATTTTTCTTTATTAAAAAAGTCCTGGTGTTCATGAAAATGTCCCCCAGGCCCTAAGAAACAGGTGGTATCATGGGGGAATGGAGGGCCTGTGTTCTGAAAGGAAGCAAACACAGCTGTGAATGGTTTTGCTTTGACAAGATCTACTTCTTCCTCTGGGGAGTCCTTGGTCTCTTCCTCTGTTAATGAGAACCTCAAAGAGGCCTTGCAGGGGCTGGAGAGATGGCTCAGAGGTTAAGAGCACCGGCTGGTCTTCCAGAGTTCCTGAGTTCAAGTCCCAGTAACCACATGGTGGCTCACAACCATCTATAGAGATGAGATCTGGTGCCCTCTTCTGGTGTATGTATGCAGGCAGAACACTGTATATACAATAAACAAATGAAATCTTTAAAAAAAAAAAAAAAAAAAGAGGCCTTGCAGACATCCTGTGGATATTGTGGTGTCTGTGGCTAGCTAAAGGCTGGTACATTTCTCTTGCCCCATTGTTCCTAACGCAGTGGTCCAGCTGGGATGTTCTGATAGGTTGGGAAGAGCAGGCCTCTGGACTTCCCTCACCTCCTCCCTTCCATTCCTGGTGCTGCTGCAAGCCCACGCCGGTCATCCGGGTCCCAAACCTGGACTACAAGGAAACCCAAGCCAGTCAGCCAGCCTGGCCTTATCTCACCACGACTAAATGCAGATCCTAAACTCACACTGGCTGCCTGGGAATTCCAACAAATTCCAGCTGGGGTCAGCTGCTCTTAGTGGGTTTTGCAGAACTGGGAGGTAATTTTCGCTCTAACCTCCAGCTTAAACGAACAGCCATACCTGCTTGCTACAGAATAGGTTAGAACCAGCCGGGAGGTGACGGCGCCCGCCTTTAATCCCAGCCCTCGGGAGGCAGAGGCAGGTGGATTTCTGAGTTTGAGGCCAGTCTGGTCTATATAGTGAGATAGGAAAGAAAGAAAGAGAGAGAGAGAGAGAGAGAGAGAGAGAGAGAGAGAGAGAGAGAGAGAGAGAGGGAGGGAGGGAGGGAGGGAGGGAGGGAGGGAGGGAGGGAGGGAGGAAGGAAGGAAGGAAGGAAGGAAGGAAGGAAGGAAGGAAGGAGGAGGGAAGCAGGGAAAGGAAAGGAATGAGAAAAAAAAAGAGAAAAAAGGTGGGCCCTGCAGGCAGCCACCATGAAGTGATTACTCAGGGCAGCCCTCCCTGGCTACTTTTCTGTGGAGCTTGTGATGCATGGTCAGTTGTGGGGCCTCTGGGCTGCTTCCTCACATCCATCAGGTCAGATTGTGTGTGGTGATATCGTTTTCCCCTGGCTGACCTGGAACTTGTTATGTAGATCAGGGTGGCCTTAAACTGACTTCTGTCCTCCAAGCTTCTATCCCCAAGTCTTGTTAACATTCACATGTCCCTGTGTTGTAAACCCCTAACATTTATTTCCTGTTGTGAGTGCTGGACACTAGTGCACAGAACATCTCCAAGCATGACCACAACAGTAGTCACATCTGCCCTGAAATCAAGTGACTCTTGATGTGCAGAGGCCTAACCAAGGCACCAGAGTCAGGCTGCCCTGGCTCCACACAACAGCTTCATAGTACCATTCCATGGTTCACTCAGCCATTCCTACAGAGATGTCTGTCAGTTTGTCTGTCCAGGCACTCCTTCACTGCTCTGATATTTCCAGGAAAAGGGAATACCACACTTCTAGTCTTCAGGACCCAGGAAAAGACCAATGCATGTCCTGGGTCTGGCCAATCAGGGCCCAGATCACCCTGGTGTAAGGTTCAGGAAGGGATACCATACACGACCATACACGTTGGTCCACTAAGCTATGATGGAAGGCAGGATGCGGGCTGGGAAGTCAGGCAGTTCTGAGAACCCACCTGGTAAGGGAGAGTGGAGGAGGGCAGGAGGCAGAGCAATCTGCTCAGCAGCAGAAACTGTGTTCTGTTCTTCCCACCTGGGGCAGTTTGTTCCTTCCAAAGTTAAGGCAGTACCCCGTTTGCTGCACACTTCAGGGTCTTGGTTTCCTGCCGCGCTCACCAATGCTGTTGCCAACATCACCACGATCGGAGCTCACCCTTAACGAGAGGATTTCTTTGCAGTATCTTTGCAGATGTGCAGTGACAAGGTGAAAGGACAAAGGGCCGTCGAGGCTCTTTGGACACGGTGTCCCCTGTTTAAAGGCTGGCAGGGTTTGCAGCCCTCCCTCCAGTGGCCAACACAACATTCGGCACACACACCAAAAACTGAATTCTGATGAGACTTTTTTTTTTTTTAAATCAAGCCAGAGTTGTATTTGTTTTTCAAACAGGAAAGTTACGTTAATATAAAACAGATAAAAACAGACAAATATCAGAACACACAACACACAAAGATCAGCGCAAACCCTTCCCCGCTCACTCCCCAAGCTCTCAGGCCTTTAGTACAGTTCCCCAAGGCTAGACAGTACCGGACAGTCACAGTATTGAATCAGAAAGGACAGACATGTTTCAAAGGGTCTGTACACAGGTAGTGGGGGTAGGGTGGGAACGAACACTATCAGTCCAACAGCAAACCGCAGGAGGGTCTCAGAGACTCCTCGCCGGTGTCTGGAGACCTACCACATCTGCTAGCTTCTTGTCCACTTTGAACGGTTGCAATTTAAAGGAGAAAAAGTGCACGCACACACACTTCCATAAGGCACAGACAGATTGTCGGATGGGTAGTTCCATTAGGGACTTGAGTGAGACACTAAAGTACTGAGAAATGCTGGGAGGCCGTGTGGTCCTGAGCCGTGTCCCCAGCCAGGGCGGGATGGATGGAGCAGGGCAGTCACTGCTTCCCATGCTCCAAGGCTGCACAATGCCACTCTCAGCTGGGACTCGGGGCTCTTTGTGGGCCCCAGTGCCTGGAAGTAGCAGGAAGATGTCTCCCTAGAGACTCCCTGGTGGACCTGAAGGTGGTCATTAACTGGTGGGGTCCTGGCTGTTTGGCAAGAGCTCACTTACTACAAGGAACCCCCACATATCTAATGTGGGTGTGGGAAGATTTGTGGGCATTTAACTAAATGGACCCAAGGCAACAGAACGGTCAAGAAAGCCCACATGTTCTGCCCTGTCTTACCAATGTGGCACCACTCAGGCATCAGGGCTGGGCACACCCTATGTTCCCGCCTCACATCCTGAGGGCACCCAGCAAATGATTGTCAGATGACTTTGTGTCCATATATGTGTGATGCTATTTCACTAAACTCCAGCTACTTGTCCCCTGGCTCCTGATCTAATCTGCAGTTTTTCACTAAGAACCTACTGTGTGCTAGCACCAGACCCAACTCCAGAGTGATCAAATCAGTTTATAATCTGGCTTCTGGCCTCCGGTCTGAGAACTGCTCACAGGCTTTGCCTTTGGTCCCAGCTCTTAACCTCATGTCCTGATCACGAGCCATGCTGGTGAGTGGATGCTGAGCAAGTGAAAACATGTGTCACAGCCCGTGAAGGACAGCTGCCCAAGAAGTCAACCCCAAGGCTCTTGGGATGCGGTAAGAGGAGATGCCCACTTTTGCTTGGGAAACAACCATTTTCCAGGAAGTTCCAGTGGGCGGGGATATGGCTGCCATGAACTGGGGGGTCACCTGGCCTCCCCCATGCTCCTCTTAGCTTTTGAGGCTCACAGGGCACAAAATGGGCAGTGAGCCTGGAAAACAGGGGTGGGGTGCTGCCCGAGAGGGGAGTGGCTTAAGGTCCCTCTCCAAAGCAGCCCCACATGACACCCTGGTGCAGAAGGGCAGCAAATGCATGAGCCTTAGAGAACACTTGTCCCCACTAGGGTGTGGGCAGCAGAGGGACTGTGGCCCAGAGCCTTCCACACAGATGCAGGTGCCCAGGCTCTGCAGAAAAGAAGACTCCGGTAGTACAGAGCTTCCTGAGAAGTGGGGCAGACTGGCCAGGACTAGATGCGGGGAGGGTGGGGGGGCTTGAATCCTAGCCCTGCCACTTCCTGTTGTGTGATCCTTAAGATGCTCACAGGATCTCAGATCTCACCCACCAAATGAGGACAATCCTGTATTTCCTAGATCCTGAGTACCCATTTCCCCACAGCTGAATGTCTTTGAACCCGGAAGCTGCATCCCAGCATCCTGTGGCTAAGGTGGGTGTGGCTTCTGCAGTTACTCATAAGATGGTGTGCCTTCTAACCAGCCATGTCTCAGATGGGACTCAAGATGGCACTAACACCTGTACACGAGGTCCCGTCAGAGGTGTCTCTTTAACTCAGTGTGCAGGCATGTGAGAGGTGACAAGGGATGTGACTGGCTTCTTTCCCCTCCTGTCCCTTGTTGAGATGAGACCCACACACTGCCTCTAGGGACTGACTCCATCTTTCAGAGCACTGGCAAACACCTGGCATTTAGAACAGAAACGGTCCCTTTGCTCTGTGGGAAACAAGGTAGCTATTTATAGTGGCTGCGGAGCAGGTTAAACAGGCCTGTGATGCCTTTCTGCCCTGCTAGCAGGTCACCAGGAGCAGGCCTGGTTCACCCCTGGCTCCAGGACCTCAGCTTCTGATTAGCGGCTGTGGGTGGCGCCTGCTGCAACGCTGGGGTCCAGCTGGGAAAGCAGGAGGCCAAGTGGGGCTGGCTCGCCCAGGCCACTGAGACCGTGGCAGTTAGAGACTACATCCAGGCAGGGCCATGGCTGCCAGGAGACCCAGTTACCATCACTGGTGACAAGGTAGCTCTGCCCAAGCCCACGACATGGAGAAGCCAAGAGCTTGGCTGAGTAAATTGAGCAGGGTACCCAATGCGCCTGATTCTCCAACTCTCCTCCAGGCAAACAAGGGTTCCTGCAGCTCTTTGAAAGATTTAACTGCATCCAGGTAGTGGTGGCGCACACCTTTAATCCCAGCGCTCAGGAGGCAGACACAGGCAGATCTCTCTGAGTTTGAGGCCAGCCTTATCTACAGAATAAGTTCCAGGACAGCCAGGGCTACAAAGAGAAACCCTTTCTCTAAAAAAAGAAGAAAAAAAAAAAATGCAGCTGCAAAGCGAAACGGTGGTGACGCGCCCTGCAGTCCCTAAGGAAAAGCCAGCTCTCAGGGGCTCTTGCTGGGGACAGGAATGGGGAAGCTGTGATTGGGCCAGATCCAGACACTCCCAGTCAGAGAAGCATCGGCACAGGCCCAAGGCCTCCAGCTACCCAAGCACACTGACTCCAGCTTGGGCTGCTGTCGGGTGGTCCATGGCTCCTGTCCAAGCCTGTTCCATGAACCTCACTTCTTGAATGCATCTCTTCCCCCTCTTACCCCCTCACAGCTAGAGACGGACAGACTAGGAGCTGTGGGAAAAAGTTTCTCCTCACAAGGTGTCTCAGGCTTTCTCAGTGTGTGGGGGTCCCCCGAGTGCCCTGGTACCAGGCTTCTAAGTAGGAACCAAGAAACAGAGAGGCCAAGGAACTCTTCTACAGGTACAGCTCACAGAATGTAGGTGTAATCCCGAGCCCACAGCTCTTCAGAATGGAGGAGCATGCCTGGCCAGAGCATCAGCAATGGGAAGGTCTGGGAGCCTACAGAAACAGGTCTGGCCCAGTGAGAGGGGGCCAGGGCCAGGGTCCTGGGAAATGCCAGCAAACAGGCCCAGGAGTTGGGGGGCATTTCAGTCAGCTCTTCACAAGTATCTAACAAGTGTATATTAGTTAACACCTTAATAATCAGAAAAATGAGAGGGTCAGGACAAGGTCCAGATAGGGAGACTGGGTCTTCTGGCTTCTGCCAGCTGGTCGCTGGGACATGCCCACAGCTCTCCTTAATTCTTCTTAATTCATAATGGGAGTTATGGAGCCGCCCCGGAGAACAGGAGGAGCATTACAAAACTCCAGAGCATGTGGGGCTGAGGGGCGAGGAGCTTACTGTTCAGACTGGGGATGGAGGAATCCTAGATGCTAGAGCTTGGGGCACCTGTCCTCAGCTGCCACGGGAAGGAAGGCGCCTCCCAGTCTGAGTAAGCAGTGAAAGCCACCTGTGCTGGGCTGTTCTCCGCCCACCTTCCCCTCAGCAGGAGCTGCTGCCTGGAGCTGTAAACAGTGAGTTATTTTTGCTTTCCTTTAGAAAATTTGAGTGCCTCTTTCTATACCATTGAAGGAGTTCTGTGTAGGTTCAGGCCTCGTGTGTTCAAAGCTAGCTCGTTGCAGAAAACCACATCCCCAGAAAGTGGACAACCGTCACATTAACATTTAGGCCCGGATTGCACATTCCTTAGTGTTAAATACCCTCCAGGAGACGACAGATTCCTGCACAATACATCCACACACACTCTCTCACTCATTCTCTCTCACTCATTCTTTCTCTGTGCTGTCTCCCCCCACCCCAACACACACACACTCAACCCAACCCCAAAGAAGCATTGCACAGACAGAGGGCACCCTTTCCCAGCTGAAGGTCACCAAGAGGCAGGTGATCTGCCAGGCAGTTCCTGAGCTGAATCTTGGGACAGGCTTTTGGGGGCAACACGTGTTTGAGCCAGAAGCAATGCTTGCCTGGGCTCTGGCCCCCCGGGGCCTCATCTCCACACCTGTCCTGCCTTGCTCATCACTGCGGAGTGGCAGATGAGAGATGGCTTCTGACCTTGGGCTCCCTGGTAGCCATGGTGTCGCCCACCTAACAGGGGCTTCAGAAAGGTGACCTCGCCTTGGCCCAGCCCGCTGCATAGCTATGGCCTGTAGATCTTGATGACATCCTTGATGGGCCGCCGGCAGATGGGACAGCAGGCCCGTGCCTGCCTTCGGAGCCGCAGGCCGCAGCTGTGGCAGAGGCACATGTGTCCACACGTGTAGATGACCGTGTCCACCTCGCTGTCGAAGCACACTGTACACTCTCCATTCCTGCTGCCTGACGCTTCAGGTGCAGAGAAGGCTGGGGACACTGGGGGGCTCAGCGGGGAGCTGGGGGCTGTCACTGCCAGAAGGGAGACAGGACATCATTAATGACATGGCTCTCAGGAGGGCTCTGCTGGGCGATCCCAAGAACGCAGTGCTCCCATGGTGGAAATGGGGCACAGTGTGGGGACAGTCCCATCTTCATTTGCCTCCTGAGTTTTACCCGTTTTTGATATTGCTGTCCCCAAAAGCACAAAGGTAAACTGCCTTCACCAGCAGCCTTTGGGCCTCTCAATCTCCATATCTATGTTCCCGCCAAGGATAGCAGAAGATCAGATGCCGTGGAAAACCCAGCAGGACTGCTCAGCCAGCAAAGGCCAAGGCTACTGGCACAGCCAAAGGAACCCCTGCACCCCAGGGGTCTCTATGCCATCAGGAACCCCTGCCCCCTGGGGGGGGGGTTCTATTTCCTTACCCAGAGATGACTCTGATGCTGAGGAAGACTGGTTGACACCGAAGGTCACGTCTGAATCACTGTCATCCTGGGAGCCGCTGAAGGACCCCGATGGAGTTGTGGTCTCAGGACTGGACTGCAGGGTACCTGGGAGCCAGAGAGACTCTACTGGGGGTGGCACAAACCCTGCAATCCCTGCTCCTCATCGCTCTGCACCCCTTCTGTCTAGGGAGTAGACTGGAGTGACTGTCATGTTCTGCCAATGTGGCGGACGCCTGTGTTTTGCCTGCCCAGCCTCCATTCCTCCTCGGGTGCATTCCCTCTCCTCCTAACTCAGAAATAGCCTTAGGATGCTGGGCCAGGTCCAGAGAACCTTCCATTCTTCAGCCCCATTGCGAGCCAAGGAAGAGCACATAACCCAAGCAAGGCCACCCTGCCACCGCCATTAGAACTGTTGGGAAAGGAAAGGTTCGTGCCACTGAGAGGGAAGCCTGGCACAGGCGAAGCCCCTCTGTGGCAAGGGCCTGACTGACGGAGAGTGGAGCCAGCACAGGACTCGTCCTGATGATGCGCATTCATTGCCTAGACACAGCTTTCCTGAATCTATCCAACAGACTCCTGCACTTGTGAGTTATACTACCCTTGGTCACTTGGGGCACTTAGAAGGGGGTTTTTGTCACAGCTACAGGATCCCGGGCTGTGAATATTTCTCTCTGCCCAAGCTCAATGCTAATTCAGAAAATATGTCCCTCCTTAGGAAGAAGAGCAATGCCCCCTTTACTCTGCTTGATGAAGGTCAGCTAACATAGCAGGAACTTGGGCAACTTGTCTCAGAATGAAATATTACATTAGGTAGTTCAACAACAACAACAAGAATAAAAACAAAGTAATCCTGGCCAACAACCACAGACACCCTGCTCCTCCTCTGCCCTCCTTCAGACACCCAGGCTGTAGCCATAGTTATGACATGCTGGGCATGAAGAGCAGCCCATCATGTCATTCCCATGGCAACCTCACCATGTACACAGCACTCTCTTCCACCCGGGATACCGAAACCCAGGAGAATGGTATCTGCTCAGCACTTCAGGGCTGTGTGACCCTTGGACTGTGAGATCTGCCTTTCTGTTGTTCTGTGTGTAGATGGGGATAATCACGTGGATTCACAGGCTGCGTGGAGCATCGAGGGCAACGAGGTGGCAGGGTGGCTGTGCCTGCTATGAGCTGGGCTGTGAGGGTGGCACTGTGCTCTCTGGACCATTTGCTCCCCAAAACTTGGAAGGTACCCCCTCTGCTGCAGCTAATGTCACCCTGTGCAGCTGTCCCTGTCCGCATCTCACACACACAGTGGGTGGGTATCCTGTCCTTTGCCGGCCAGGCCCACAGCTTCTGGCCTCTGCCTATTTCTTCTAAGGTCCAAGGCAAGAATCGTCTCAAAACAGAATGGCTCAACCCTTCCCTCCACTCTCTGGACGTGCTGGGGTGCTGTTTCTCTTGCACATGTCAGTGAATTCCCCTTCTCTCTCACACAATTAATATGCATGATACATTTTCTAAATAAAAAATGATCCTAATAAAATTAATCATACGGGAAATAAAAACTACACCCGCCCTCCAAGCCCTGAGAGCAGCCAGGTGCTAGAGGGAGCTCTTGTTGGGGACCTTGGGTCACTCACCCAGAAGACGCAGCTGGCCCGCCGCTCCGCCGCGCACCGCGAAGAAGGCCCAGAGCGCCTGCGAGGTGTCCACGCACAGCAGGCGTCCCCGCGGGCGCCCGTTCACCGCCAGCAGTACGTCGCCGCCCGGCCGCAGGGTGAAGCTGAGCGCGTCGCCGCCGCTGGGGACCGGCCCGGCGCGCGCCACCACCCAGTATTCCTTGCGGTCCAGCAGCGCAGCGGGGTCGGCGGGCAGCTCGGATGGCCGCAGCGCGCCGGGATCGCACGACGTGATGCCGAAGGCCACGGCCGCGGGTGCCGCCAGCCCGGGCCGGCCCACTTCCACGCACAGGCTCTCGCCTGGCCGCAGCGGCCGCTCGGAGAACACCAGGGTGCGGCCGCCGTCGGGTCGGGGCGCGCAGGCCAGCCTGCGATCGGCAGACAGGCTCACGTCGGGGCCGCGCGTGGCGTGGAAGCGCAGCTCGGCGTCCAGCAGCGCGGGTGACGACGCGGGCCGAGCGCGTTCGCGGGCCACGCACGGGACGGCGGCGTCCGGACGGCCGAGAGCCAGGTGACCCAGCTTGGCCACCACCTGGTTGTTCTCCAGCTCATTGTTGTCGAAGTTGGCGGTGTCGTGGCTGCCGGGAGGGGGGCAGGCGCTGAGGCGGGCCTGGCCCAGGCGCAGGGGTGTCAGTGTGTCCGCAAAGGTGCTTTCTGCGGGGCAGAGGAGAAGCATCAGGAGGCCTGCCGGCACCCTGGACCCCAGACTCCAGACCCTGGATCCCATCACCCCAACCCCAGACCTCAGACCCAGTCCCTGAAGACCTAGAGCCCTGGACTCCAGTTTACCCAGACCCCCAACCTCAGACTCTGAACCCCAGGTTCCCTCGACCTCAGACTCCACACTCCTAAACCCCAAACCTCAGAACCTGAACCTTAGATAGCACCCCCCTCCCCCACACCTCAATCTCAGACATGAGACTCTAGACCCCAGCTCCTCCAGATCTCATCCCAGACTTCAGACCCCACTCCTGAACTCCTAGACCTAATGCCCTAGACCCCAGACTTGCCTGGCCCCAAACTCCCTTGGACCTCACCGCAGAACCTCCTGACCTCTGTCTCTGGGCCCCAGATCCCCCGACCTTAGGGCTTTAGGTGGTCAGACTGGATTGATTTCTACCTGATCCTCCATCCTTGCTGTACCTGACTTCCTACTGCTTTGAAAGGGCCTTCTCTTCCTCCACCTTGCTTCCTCTTCTCTCCCTCCCTGACCAGGCTGTTCTTGAACGTGTTATCTTCCGTCTTAGTCTCCCAAGTCCTGGGGTTCATGCACCAAGCCCAACTTCTTGCCCCCTTCCTCTGTCCTTTTCTCTCTCCCATCCCCCAGAGGTTTTCATACATTTGCAAGTCTGGGCATTTAAAGAGCCTTTACTGTGTCCTTAGTTCAGTGCAGACCATCAACCTAAAGAGCAAATCCTATATCGGGGCCCTAGCATGTCTCATTTAATACTGCAATTGACTGGTACGAACTATTACTACTGCCGTTTGGCAAAGATGGAGGCTGAGGCAGGGGGTGTAGGGGACAGGACCTGGCACAGAACCCAAGCTGTCTTGTCAGGACTCTTCAACACAATGACAGTGGGAACAGAAATGACAGAATGGTGAGGAAAGAGGAAGTGTGGATGCCAGTGTCTGGTGTGGGAGAGGAAGTAAGTGTGGATGCCAGTGCCTGGTGTGGGAGAGGAAGTGTGGATGCCAGTGTCTGGTGTGGGAGAGGAAGTGTGGATGCCAGTGTCTGGTGTGGGAGAGGAAGTGTGGATGCCAGTGTCTGGTGTGGGAAAGGAAGTAAGTGTGGATGCCAGTGTCTGGTGTGGGAGAGGAAGTGTGGATGCCAGTGTCTGGTGTGGGAGAGGAAGTGTGGATGCCAGTGTCTGGTGTGGGAGAGGAAGTAAGTGTGGATGCCAGTGTCTGGTGTGGGAGAGGAAGTAAGTGTGGATGCCAGTGTCTGGTGTGGGAGAGGAAGTAAGTGTGGATGCCAGTGTCTGGTGTGGGAGGTGCCTTATGCTGACAGTGGGGTCCCGGAAGAGTAAGGGGTGGGGAGAGTCAAGAGCTCCATCTAGCAGGCTCAGTGCAAGGCTGAGGTATCAGAAAGAAGCAGATAGGCAGCGGCAGGGTGGGGTGTGCTTCTGGGAACTCCTGGGGTGCCTGTGCTGGGAACTAGGTCCCGGATGACTAAGATGTAGTACAAGTTCTGAAAGACGGGGCTCAGTGCACGCTATTGGAAGTGCTGGTCCCCAAGGGTGAAGGCTGGGCTGAGGAGTAACTCTGTCCTGTGAGGACAGGCCTGACCCCCGATGCTCTCCAGCTTCTGGTCTCACTATGTGGTCTCTTCCGTTTGTGCTCCCGTGACGGCAGCTCCCAGGGGCCCCACCGGAGGCCAGATCAGGGAGGCAGCCTAATCTGGTCTTTCAACCTGTACAACATGCCAAACAGACTTCACGGCAAAGCCTCGGCTATTTTGTTATAGCGGATAGAAGAATGGCTAACATGGAGGCCAACAATTTAGAGATGGCATTCAAGGCCTGCTGATATTCTCAAGGAGAAATGGTCTTGCTTTATGAGAGCTTGTTTAGGTCTATAGTTGTTTATACGTACATATACATACCTCTCTTCATGTTACATATACATACACACACATCTCCATACTCTGGGTGACTCTAAGAGCTGAATATATATTTAAAATATGTTTATGTGTACTTTGAAAACATTTTTGTTATTTTTATGTTCATGTGTGTTTTGCCTGCATACCTGTCTGTGTACCACTTGTGTGCCTGCTGCCCACAGAGGTCAGAAGAGGGCACTGGATCCCTGAAACTGGAGTTGCAGATGTTGGTGGGTCACCATGTGGGTGCTGGGAATAGAATCTGGCTGGGTCCTCTGGAAGAGCAGCCGGTGCTCTTAACTGCTTGAGAGCCCCTCGTGTAGTTTTTACATGTGTTTTCTGTATGCTGTAATACACACTTTAAGAAAGTGAGTGCAGCTAGCATAGAACCCAGGGCCTTCTGTCTCAGCAGAGGGTGGGTAGCCTTTCCAGTCAGGTACGTGATGCCTTGCAAGGCCCAGGCAGGACTGCTGCTCTGGCTTCTGTACCCACACCCAGATCTCCCTCGGAAAGAACAACCCACCCTCACAGCTGTGACCTGAGGAGTCGGGGGTCCTTCAACCTGGCCAGTCACTACTATGCCACCCCCTGCCTATGGCCACAAGACAAGAGATGAGGTTTGGACCCTAATGGGTGGATGAGGTCAGTAATCCTTGAGACCCCGGACAGAGGTTGCGAGGACATGGGGCTGTCATCTGCAGGTGGTCCCTGGTTTGCCCCACAGGACAGTCAAGCTGAGGAGGGAGCTGACAGAATGACAGCAGAGAAAGAAGTGAAGAGCCTCCCCAGGCACTGCCCTTCACCAGGTAGTTGCAAGGCATTATGTCCTTTTTTCCACTTAAGTGATACTGAAGCAACCAAATATTTCAGACTATCTAGACTGTGGTGCCATGGCCTTGGCGTGGTATTTGTTTAATGTGACCAGCCACTGGGCAGAGGAAGGATGGGGACCACTCAGCCCCAGACCCTTGGTGCTGGGAGGAAGGATGGATCTCCTTCAGCCAGCATCCCTGGGATAGTACAATGTTCTCGGGGAAGAGGACAGCTGGAATGCCAGTGTACCTTAGCAGATGTGCGCCTCGTTTTCCGTATCTGCAAGCTGTCCCGGGGTGCACTAATTGATGAGACAGGCCTGGCACATGTGACGTGATCACAAATACAAGGAGGGAGAAATGGGATCTAAAGGCATTCCATCTCAGAGTGACAGGGTGGCTTGGAGGGAGGGGGAGAGAGGGGGAAGGGAGGGGCAGGCACCCAACGCAAAGGCCTTCCTCAGAAATACAGTCCTGGCTGCGGGCTGTACCACCTGAGAGTCTTGGGTAAGCCTGGTGCTGGGAGCCAGACCCGCTGTCACTGGCTTAGGCGCGGCCTGAGCAGAGACTTTCCAGGTCTCCCAGGGGACTCAGTGTACAGCCAGGGCTGAGAGCTGCTGAGCCAAATACAGACAAATCCAGCCTCAACGACCGTGAGCTCAAGGGCTGGTCACCTTCCTTCTCAGAACCCGGATTCTTACCTAAGCAGGGAACTGCACCCTGGACCTGGCCTCACCAGTGTGGTAGCGGAACCCGCGTCAGGAAGACGCAGGGCAGGGCACACACTTCCACTAGGCCAAAAGCTGTATGCAGCCTGTGGGCCCCTTTTGACTCGGCTCAAGTTCTGGGGCAGTCCCTAAAGACGAGGACCGTGTTTCCAAGGCCTGTGGTGCTGGATGAAGCCTGGGTTCATTTGAATTTTAGATAAACAATTTTTTTTTTGGTATGAGCATGTTCCAAATACTGCCACAAGACATAGTCATACTAAATTTTTGTTTTGTTTATCTTGAATTCAAATTTAACTAGATGTCCTGTATTTTTATTGCTCCACTTGATAGCTCTACCCTGATGTCATCTTTGGGTTTTGCTTTGCAGGCTTTATTCAGTGGGGTATGAGAAGTGAGGGGGCGATGAAGGGCCCTGGGTTTTTGTTTTGTTTTTTTCTATTCTGGGATTTCAAGGCCCAGAATTTTAAAGCAATTATATTGCCTCCTCAGAAGTCTAGGGTGCACAGGGTAAATCAGACATTGGCTGCTGTGAAGTAGCCATTGGTGGGTCCTGGGGTACCTCTCTTCCCAAACTAAGTTTCTCCAGGGATCTCTCAGAGTTGCACATTACATCATCCCTTACCCGCTGCCCATTCTTAATATTAAGTCACGGTGGCTTAGCATCCGTTTATTTACTGTTATTTAAAACCTTTTATTCAGTGCTGGCGATCACACCTGGACCCTCACATCCTGGATGAGTGCTCTCTCACTGGGCTACAGCTACAATCTCTTTCCCTTTTTCTGAGACAGAGTTTTACTATGTAGCTCTGGCTGGCCTGGAACTTCCTACATGGATCAGGCTGGCCTCAAAGTTACCGAGATCCACCTGCCTCCACCTCCTGAGTGCTGGGGCTAAAGGCGTGTGCCACCACACCAGGCTTCTGTTCTTATTTTTATCAGCCCTGCAAGAGACCCCCAAACCTTAACTCTGGAAGAGATGGCTCAGTGGTTAAAAGCACTCACTGCTCTTGCAGAGGACCAGGTTCAGATCCCAGTACCCACATAGTGGCTCATAACTTCCTGTCACCCCAGTCCCTGGTGATCTGACACCCTCTTCTGGCCTCCACCACATGCACACACTCAGGTATGCACTCATACATAGGAACAAAAGCAACCCAGTTAACTACACATGTGCATGCACACATACTTTTAGGTGATTCTTCAGAGATATAAGGAGGAAGGGACATTGACCCATGACCTCATGACCCCATGACCCAGGGACAGAGCTCCTCTTGCTCTTCCTGCCCCTGTTATATGTCTGTGTGAACACTGTTCTGTACCAGGTATGTCCCATCAGCTCGCACAGCTCTGGGTGTGTTACTGATCTGCAAATAAAGAGACAGCCTCAGGTTTGCTCGGTTACATGGGCTCCGCCCACTTCCTCCCAAGGGTCATACAACACAGTGGTGGTGGTGGTGGTGGAGGTGGTGGTGGTGGTGGTGGTGGTGGTGGTGGTGGTGGTGGTGGTGATGGTGATGGTGGTGGTGGTGGTGGTGATGGTGGTGGTGGTGGTGGTGGTGGTGGTAGTGGTGGTGGTGGTTGTGGTGGTTGTGGTGGTGGTGGTGGTGGTGGTGGTGGTGGTGGTGGTGGTGATGGTGGTGGTGGTGGTGGTGATGGTGGTGGTGGTGGTGGTGGTGGTGGTGGTGGTGATGGTGGTGGTGGTGGTGGTGGTGGTGGTGGTGGTGGTGGTGGTGGAGTTTCCATGCAAGTTTGCTGAGTGAGAAAATGAAAGGAGGGGATCCGTGTGTTCCCTAGGTGTCTTCAGCCTCATTTAGTCATCAAGGTCAGCCTCCAATCTGTATTTTTAAACATTCCTAACCCATTTGCATTGTTCATGTGTGGCCGTGGCTTCCTGTCTGCTCACAGAGACATGGGCTGGGGAAACAGGCGTGATTGCTTCCTACTCTACAGGGATAAAGTGGTGGGAGGTTTTTGAGGTTTAGGGAAGCTGCAGCTTCTGGAGCCTTCATGGAAAACCTTTAAGGGGTAAGGGTGGGCAGGGGTGTGCTTAGAATGCCCAAATGAGGCCCCAGCTCAGAATGGTGCTGTCCGGTCTGATCTGCCCAAAACTGGGACACAGGCCCTGCCCACACACAAGCCAGCAGAGGGCCTTGCTTCCCAGCTGCTGGTCAAGTGCCACCAGTGTCTCAGGCCCATGCACCCCTCCAGACACCATGTCCTATAACCCTGCCAATAATCCCATGAGGTGGGTGCCATCATGCATCTGCTTTACAGATAAAAAGAACCGAGGCTCAGAGAGGGCCTGTCTCTGTCGATTCTACATAGATGACATATGGAGATCCGGGTCTAGGCACAAGTGTCTGTGACTTTCATGTCTCCGACTGCTCTAACCACTTAGAACTTCTTATTTCTGGGAGAGAGGAGAGTCAGTTCCTGGACACTGAATCTGCCCCCCATGCCCAGTGGTATGTGTTTGGGGGGCAAACCAGAAACAGCCCAAACATTTAGCTGTATAAACCATCTTCCCATAAAAAGAAGCAATCAGCAGCGATCTGCAGGGTGATGCATCAGTCCAGCCACAGGGCATTAAGAAACAGGCTAGGCAGAAATATCAAAGAGAGAAGAACCCTCAGGAGGGGAGCTTCAGGCTACAGACAGGTGGGGAAATGTGTCTATCCGTCCACCTTCTCACTTTACCCTTGCCTAGTTCCTTGCAGGTAAATTACACACAGGGATGGCCAGCTTCCCTGAGAAACTACTCTCCCTTCATACCTCCCGAGTCTAGGCCGGGTTATTTCAAGTGCAGGCTGCAGCCTCAGAAGTGACTGCCCTTCATTGGAGGAGGAGGGAACAGAGACTGGCCGAGGGGTCTGGTGCCCTTTGAGAAGAGTAACTACGATGGAACCAGAGGCCATGGGCACCAACTCAAGGCCACTCAACTGTGCCTTTTAAAATGACCACTTTCCTGTCTACATCATTTGTTGTTTTGTTTTGTTTTTGAAACAGGATCTAATACGCAGCCTGATAGGCATGGAACTCAACTATGTAGACCAGGCTGGCCTCAAACTCATAAATGAAGCCCCACCTGCTTCTGCCTCCCAAGTGTTGGCATTAAAGGCATGTACCACCTTACACCTGGTCAACTTCTACATCAGTTTTTTTTTTTTTTAAAGTAACACACACATATGACCTTAGGCAGTCCTTGTAGCCATGTGACCAGGTTGAGATAGGAATATCTGGGAAGTCCTGGAGATGTTCGGGAGATGTGTGTGTATGTGTGTGTGTGTGTGTGTGTGTGTGTGTGTGTGTGTGTGTGTCCTTCATGCTCAGTGGTAGGGTGGGCCATATATATATTTATACACACATGTATACATCACACACACACACACACACACACACACACACACACACACACACACACACACACACACACACACACATATATATGAGACTACATACAGTGTCTCAAGATGATGGGAGAAAATTTTTACGTTGGGAGCATCCACAGTCAGAATTTCAGCACTACGCGGGCCTCCCCAAAGCACCTCAGGCTTCTTCACAGTTAGCCTGGCTCTGGATGCTGCCCCTGACTGCCCACTGGCATAAGTTCATCTACTGGGTGAATAAAAGCCAGCAGAGGAAAGCATGCCGGGACTGGAGGAGGTGGCCCATGAACACATGAGTGAAAGAGGGAGTGAATGAACGAGTGAATCGTGGTCTAAGAGTGACAAGCTGGCTGGCCAAGGCATGGGTCTGTGCCCAGGCCACGTGGGTTCCCTCCCAGTTCTGCAACAAAAGTAACGCTGTGCCTCAGTTTCCTCCTCTGGAAATTGGACGTCATTGTTTTTGTGAGAATCAAGACCCATGGGGGGCACACCGAGCAGAGCCCCCGGGGCTGTAAACGCTACGGTCACACAGGCTGTGCCAAGCGACCTACCCAGCAGCTGCACTTCGTCGGTGATGCCGTAGACGTCAATGAGTGCCCAGAGTGGGCCTCCCACGGCCACGCCACAGTGGAACAGCACCGGCTCACCATCGTTGACGCTGTAGAAGACGCGGCCGTGGCGATCAGCCCAGTATGCTAGCACCGTGTCCCGTAGTGCCAAGTTCTCAGGCAGCGCCTTAGCCCAGTATCCAGGCCGTGTGACCAGGTCGGGGCAGGCGTACTTGGGGATGTCCTGAGCACTCATGAGTGACGGGTCGTGCGCAGTGAAGCCGAAGCGCAGGGCACCGCTCCAGCCAGGACGCACGGCCACCAGGCGCAGCCGCACCTGCTCATACAGGCGGATGGGCCTCTGCGTGAAGGTGACGCCGTTGCAGAAGCTGTTGCGCCGCGTAGCCCTGCGCGAGTGGCCGTCCAGCCGCACGTTCTTGCCCTTGGCCTGAGCGTGGAAGCGTGGTGCCTCGCCCAGGACCGCTCGCCTCTCGGGGCCAGGGCCGTAACAAGGCCGGGAGGCTAGGAGGCGTGCGGGAGGGCTGGAGTCTGTGGGCAGAGAGAAAGCATGTCAGCGCTTGGTACTCCTGTCGCCGGGGATTTTATTAACCATTTCCATAAATTCCACTTTAGATTGGGCATGGATACATTTTAGAAGGTTCTGGCCTAGACCTAAGGGGCTCCCCTACCCCTGTCCCCAACCATGGCAAGTCACTGCACACACTTCACGGCAACCCAAGGTTTAATGTTGAGTGTGCACTGAAGAGCTCCCTTTCCACACCCAGCTTATCACCACCTGGCCTGGGGTCAGATGACCTCTTCATCTCCAGCAAACCACCCCCAAGTCAAGAAGCTTCCTCCCAGGACGACATCTGAGCTGCAGAGTGCTGGGATTCTGTGAGGAACGGTGGGGATGTCTGGCTGCTTTCCTTAAAATTTGTGTTCACAGCGAGCTAGGGATCTGGGGTGCACACATTCTTCTGAGATTCCTAAAGCAGCCTGCAGCCCCAGGCTCCCAGCAACAGTGGGGGTAACCCTGTCACTCTCTCCACTGATTTCTTGTCTCCAGATGGGTCCAGTAAACTCCCATCACTGCTGGAAGGCCGTGTGGATCAAATGCCCAAATATGGCGGGACACCCAGGGTCTGTGATGGACCACTGGTAACCTCACGATCTATCTCTCGAAGGCTCCAGAGCTGTCTCAGCCAGGACTCTGGCTTTCCCCCCTTCACTGATGGTCAGGTGGTTAGCTTTTCTAGAATGTACCTTCTGGGGATTCATTTCTATGGAGATTTGCTCTGAGGGCCTTTTCAGGGAACCTAGCCATTGGTCAGAACCCAGGTGGCCCGGAACGGAGTGGGAGTCACCTTCCCCTCCTTCCTCTCTCCACTCCAAGGGAGGTGGCAGGTGGGTGGTCACTGCGGGGAGGAGTCCTGCACTTACTACAGCAGCAGAGGCCATTCTCAAAGCAGGCCACCACAGTACATTCTGAGAAGAATGGCAGGCCACTGTGGGGACACTCCTCCCACGCTCAACCCAGCGTGCACTGTGCTGTGGTCCTCTCAGGGATGGAGGTGGAGGGTTTGGTTAACCCTGAGGCTGATGGGCGGCAGAGCAAGGCAGAAAAAAACATCATGGCCCCTCTAAAAGCTGAGAAGGGGAGCAGGCCTCTTCAGACAGAAGGCACCCACCTGCCGAAGATGATGCCAGGCCAAGGAGCAGGACAGAGTCCCTCGTTAGGAGAAAAAAAAAACCTTCAGGGGCTGCTGTCAACTAGTTGCTTAGCAAACGTTAAGCAAAGGTCTACTATGGTCAGCCAGCATGCTAGGCAGTGGGCATACACCTGTCCCGAGACAAAGGTCCCCCTCTGATGAGTCTGACAACAAATGAAGTGTTGTGCGCTGGCGGGGGGTGGGGGGGGGGTAGGGTGGGGGGGGGAGAATACTGCAGAGAATAATGAGTTGAAAACCAGCCCTGGGATTTGCATAGAGAGCCTCCCTGTGGGGGACTGGAACAGAATACCAGAGGAAGAGAAGGAATGCGCCCTGAGGGTTTAGGAAGGAGAACTCCAGGCAGGAACACAGTGCAAAGGCCCCCCAGGAAAGGAAAGTGCTGATAAGGCTGAGCAACAAGGAGCCAGTGTGGGCAAGCTGGGGAGCGGGTCTGGGTGAGCCGGAGCTGGGGGAGTGGGGGCTTATAGAGCTTTGCCTTTTCTTTAACAATGCTGAGGGAGCTTCGTTATGGAAGGCTCAGTGCTGAGAGAGGAAGACTACCCTGGAGACCGGGGCAGGATGGGCTGTGGGGAGATCCACAGCTTGGACAGGCCTGCCAGATCACGAGGCTCAGATCGGAGAGAGGCCAGTAGGTGGCGAGAAGGGTCAGATTCTGAGCATGTCTTGAAGGCAGAAGAGATACAAAGGTTCTAAGAAAATTTCCACACAGAAATAAAAACACTTGATATATTTGCTTTGAACACTAAAACAACACTCAATGACTAGAACCTGCTTTTTAAAGGCGTTTTGGTTCTGCGGAGCATGTTTGAAGGGGAGCAGAGGGAAGGGGAAGGGTAGGGTTGTGCCAGGTGTGGACCCAGGGGCAGGACTTCGACCACACCTTCCATGCCCATCCAAGGCCTGGCTGAATCAGGTCCTTGATAAAGGCTAGCGGCTGCCTGCTAGCCTAGATGTTAGCTACCTCTAGGGATTAGCTTCTGCCACAGCCTACTTACAGATAGGGACATGGGCCAGTGGAGGGACGGCAAGGTGCCAGCTCAGGTCAGTCAGGGCGTAACCCGATTCTGCGGACTCTACTAGGCTACCCCAGTGCAGCTGCACACGTGTCAGGGCCACTGTTGTCTCGGGTTGTCCAGGCACACCCACCAGGTCTGGGCTGCAGTAAGACCCCATCCTTTCCCACACGTGTCAGTCACACGCACCTGCTGTTCTGTCTGCCCACAACGGCCCCTCCTTCTCCATCACCATGTCCAGCTCCTGGGGTGTCTGCCCTCAAATCCAGAAGCTGGGGTGCAACCCTGGTGGTTAGCCAATACGGACCTTTCTGCTTGGGGGTGGCTTTTACTTGCAAGCTGGGTAGTCGCCACACATCCAGCCAACATCCAGGGTCGCTTACTCTGTCGTACCTGCCTTCCCCCCCCTTCCATTCTCACAATAAAGCAAGAGGGGCCCAGGCAGGAGGGCTGCAGGAAGCGCTCATAAGAGGCTCTGAAGCGACACAAGAGAGCGGCATGCAACGTGTCGAAGTGTTCCATCCGCTGCTGCTCACTCGGTCTTTTCTTCACCCGCTCCTACTCTCTGCAGACCCCACAGAGTGGCATCTCTCCAGTGTCCCAGCTGGATTCACTCCAACAAGGAGCCGTTGAAGGCCAGCACATGCCCCAGCACCCAGGAGCTGTGGGTGGCAGTAATGTCCACAGAGGTGGGTCTTGAAAGATCAGAGGGGAGTGCCGTGGGCAGAGCAGGGAGTCGGCTGCTGTGGGAAAAGCAGCGGATTGCGGCAGTGGAGGCTCAGGGTGCCAAGGCTGGGCAGCCACTGTGTGAGGGGTTGGTACATGTGCTGTCCATGTCCTGGGGCTCAGATGGATGGTCATAAGTGCCAAGCCAGGAGACTCAGACCAGATGGCATGACCCAAGGCGAAAAGGGGCTATGCAAAAACACACCAGCCTTTGGCCAGCCAGTACTGCCTGCAGGAAGGGGTGGCTTTGGAGAGGCAGCCATCTTTGGAACCAATGCAATGAGAAGAATCACCAATTAAAGACCTATAGGAGTTTATAAGATGAAATCCAAGCAAGCAGGATGCCCAATGTGGGCCACGAGCAGGGGCAGCACGCACATACAGCCTTGGACAGGCCAACAAACATGGGCTACAGCTTCCTCCAGGGCCTAAAGACCAAGGTCCCCTGCATCTGCTGAATTCTCCAGGAAGCATTAATAGGACCACAGATCAAAGCCTTCAGAGCACCCAAGTGTGCTGTGACCTTGGGTGACTACTTCTCTCCTGCTCCGCTCTGGGGACCCATCTTATCTCTTCATCAGATCTCCCCATCAAACAGCCCAGTAGCCTCAGCAGGTGTTTCCAGAGCCCAATCTGGTCACGTGGGCTGGTAGGTGGGCAGGCAGATGGGGAGATTCAGCCTCTGTGACTTTGGGGTAAGCTCCCTGCAGACACCACTGTGCCTTCGGATAGCACTCACCCATAGGCCCCAGACTGACAGAGTTGTTTAATCTTGGTTACACAACCCAACTTCCTTCAGGGAATGAGGGATAAACACTCCACTTTCCCCCCACTGAGGCCAGAGGCTTGATGAGAGGCAAAGAACACCAGAGCGGTGGTGGGTAGGACGGATATGTTCTTGACACCAAGTGAAGACACTTAAAATAAAGGCCAGTGGGTGTCCTGATGTACATCCAGCACCTGCTTTGCTGGGTCCAGGGACACAGGGGACTGGAGTTAGGAGGAGAGCCAGGCTCTGGCCATGTCAGCAGGAAACTGAATTCAGTCACTTCAGCAGGGACAATCAACAGAAGAAAATTGAGGGAAGACAAATCCTGGCAACCCCATACCCACTGAACTGTTCATTTCTGAACAGTTCACAACAAGCCAAGGTCCCCCACTCTGCATGCCCCATGATGGAGGCATCTCAGCATGACTGCTGTTGGCCTTTACGATGAATCCTCTCCTTACCGTCCCACTTCCGGTAGACAGACCCAGTTTGCAGACCTCTTCTCTGTAGCAGCCAGAGGACCCAGTAGCTCACCACCTTCGCTAAGGCTCTGTTGGCATACACCCATGCTACCCCGGCCTGGGCCTACCTGGCACTTCATTGTGGAATGTCCTGTCACAGCTGCCGACACCAGGACCAGAATCAGACAAAGGCATTCAGCTAGGATGAGGCTCCCAAATCACACCAAGCACAAAACCATGCCCCTTTCCTCCCACACACACAGCCAAGGTTCCTGGTTAGTGAGGCCCATCTAGGAACCATGAGACCCAGTCAGGGAGGGGATTTCTGATAAGTGGAACAGAGTGGATCTCCGAAGTCACCCTTGTGGTTGACAGCAGGGACAGTCTCTGCCTGAACCTCACAGCCAGTAGCTCGGGCCCCACTCTGGGGTGTGGTGGGGGTCTTTCTAGAGTTCAGCTGGAGCAACAATGCCTGACACTAAAGCATGAAGATTCAAGACTGGGCAAGGCACACTAGGCATCTCCACTGCCCAGTCCTAGGCAAGCCTGTGAACGCTCCTTGGGTGGCTCCTGCTGTGACTCTGGGTTCAGTCTGTGCTTTGCTACTAATCTGCCTGAGGGCCCTTGAGAAAGTCCCTTTGACTGACAAAGATGTGGTCCTGTCACCTGCAAATGGTGGGTGACCTTAGCTCTCCACCTTGAGGTGGCTGGCAGGGATGGGGAGAACATACTCAGATGCCTCCCAAAGTCCTGGCACTTAGCAGAAAGGTAGTAAACAGTCATGCCCTCCATCAAAGTACAACCAGTAGGCAAGGCCCTCACCTCCAGCTAGATCTCTTGGGGCTCC